CGAAAGGGCTGACTATCTCGCAAAACGTGGGGCCCAAACGCGAATGCATGGTCCCGAGCCTTTCTGTGGTACATCTATAGGATACACTGCAGAACTACTTAGGAGTTGGGAGGAATCTCAGATTGCTGCCCACTGGCGTAAGTCAAAGGGAATGAGACAATCAAAGAAATTCATAACTCCTTCCAAGAGGAACTCAGAAAGACTCCGTGAACTCAGCCGGGAGGGTCTTAGTACTATTACAGGCTACCTGACAGGACACTGCAAGTTAAGGTACCATCTAAACAAAATGGGGCTTTCTGTAGAGACGGACTGCAGGTTCTGTGGGCTGGCGGAGGAAACCTCGGAGCACATTCTGTGTGACTGCCCGCGTATCATGAATAGCAGACTGATGCACCTTGGGGAACGATTGTCTTCTCCATCCAATATTTGGAACACGGCACCCTCCAATGTGCTTAATTTCTTGAATAACCTAAGGTTGGAGTGACTACAATCAGGGTTTAGCACAATAGATCTTTTAGGTCGCAGCGCGAGTATACCCGACGTACTAATAATAATAATAATGACTCAACTCCAGTGCCACCAAGCGAGTTTTCTAGTAGTTAGTCTATAATAGGACCATATGTGAACTGTATAACCTCCGACAATTTGACTGAACTCTATCCAGTGGGTTTTGAGTTCAGTCCGAACAACAAAACAGCTACCATTTTATGTATGTATATAGATACATATGTATGTAGATAGGACAGTCTATAACGAAAGTCATAAAAATTTAAATTTCATACTTTGTGCAAAATTTAAAAAAATTCTTAAAAATTTCCACACAAAATTTTACCCTTGCCAAAATAAAAAAGAAAGTAACAATCGCTCAATGCGATTTAGAAATCTAGGAGAGAATGGTTCCCAGGGATGCTTGTTTATCTATGTATATGTACATAGGTGCAGCCATTCCAATAACTATCACTTTTAAACGTGTTTTTCTATTATTTACATATATGCTCAAAACAACGTGGAGTAAGTTATTTTTGCGAATACAGTAATTTTCGTTATGTGTCGTAAGCACTTTTTGAAATGAAAGCTTGTGCGATGACATGCCCAAGTACCAAAATTTCTCTACGATGAGCATTTCGCCTGGGATGAAACTGACAGATCACCTGCGATGGCTGTACGCTAATGAAGACACTAAGTAAGCAAGTTCGTTATTGACAACATATGTAGCTGTGTCAAATTTCAGGACATTAGCTTAAACAGTTGCAGGAATAAGCGTTATGAAAAGTTCAGTTTGTATGCGAGGTACCACGCCCCCTATTCCAATACCTGCCACTCTCCGTCGTGAGCATGGCATTAATAACATATATAGCTGTTTCAAATTTCAGGACGTTGCCTTAAGCGGTTCCAGCAATAAGCGATATAAGAATTTCAGTTTGTATGAGAGGTGCCACGTCCCTTTTCCAATACCTGACACTTTTCTCTGAAAGTAAGGTATTGATAACATATGTGGCTGTTTCAAATTTAGGGCGTTATGGGAGGTGCCACGCCCCCTTTTCCCATATCTGTCACTTTTCGCCATAAGTACGCTACTGATAACATATGCAGCTTTGTCAAATTTCAGGACTTTGGCATAAGCGGTTCCAGACATAAGCAATATGAGAAGTTCAATTTATATGGGAGGTGCCATACCCCCTTTTCCTATACCTGCCAATTTTCGCCATAAGTTCGTTACTGATAACATATGTAGCTGTGTCAAATTTCAGGACGTTGGCGTAATCGGTTCCAGAGAAAAGCGTTAGGAGATGTTCAGTATGTATGGGAGGTGCCACGCCCCTTTTCCAATAGCTTCCCGCTTTCGCCGTAAGTAAGGTATTTACAATTTATGCATCCGTGTCAAATTTCAGTTCCCCAGCTTAGTTGGTTTAAGAGATATATTGGTGCCCTCAAAAAAGGGGTTTCAACATTTTATTGTGATGTATGTATATGTGTAGATATCCATTAGAGGGCTGCACGAATTCATTCAAACTTCTAGCCAAACAGAGTACAATAGATTTGAATATTTTACTTCACATACAAGCCTTTGGAATTTTGTAAGTTATGAATATACATTTTGTTTTATATTTTCTACCTTCAAATGGAAGAATGTGAATGAATGAATAGAAAACATTCAAATCACCCAAACTCATTTTGGTAAAAGTTTTTTTCTACGAACAAGTTTTTTCGTATATAATGGGAGCGCAGCAATACATACATACATACATATGTATGTTTGTACATATGTGCATAGAAAAAATATTTTTGGATATTCATACAAAAAATTGTCATTTATTTCAATTCAATTTATTTTCACATTGTTTGAATATTGTAATGCCGACATAATCTCAGAACAGCTATTCACTCAAATTCAAAAAAATTTTAAGCCAAAATCATTCATTCGTTTTGTATATGAATAATTCATAAGCCGTTTTGAATGCATTCATGCAGCCCTCTAATATCCATCATGCTCCCACTGTATAAGAACGTTAGGAATATTCTTACCCCAGCGCACCCTATCAGGTAATTTTTTTTAATTGGCTAAGAAATGTTCTAAATATGAGACAAATCTGCAACTAAATGCGGTTTTTAGGAATATCCCGGCCCCAGCGCCACCTAGCGGTTAAATTTTTAGTCGGAATGTTTCCCTTCAAGGTACTGGGATATGTTCCAAATATTAACGAAATCGGTCTAGCCGTTTGATAGTTTAGTGACATACAATATGGAAAACTCTATGAAATTGTGAAATCGTAACGTCTCAGGATTCTTCATTTTTCGGTAACAACAACAAAAAGTTTAAAATTTGTTTAAATCGAAAAACCTTCCACACAGAAGGCCCAAAAGAGGACTTTTTACAGAATTGAAATCGGTTTAACCGTTTGGTCAGGCATCGCCGTCATACGAAAAACATTTCATTTTTATATATATAGACTAGCAGACCAGACGGACTTCGTCCCGCCAAAATTAATTTGTTTTACTGGAATATTTTGGTCCAACATTTTCATCAACAATTCGCGTTCACGATTTCTAGTGATACATTTATCTGCTAGTATTACGGTTTGGTGGTTTTTAGAAGGCATATTTCCATTGTCGTCTTTAATAACCTAACGAAAATGTATGTTCGTGAAGAAGTTCTTGAAATTCTCCAATGATCTGACCTTTCACAGCACGGTTAATCGCAAAACGAAATAAATTTGAAGAACTTGTTTCCATTCACTACCTGGCAGAAACAATGATCCGGTACGATGGTGAATTTGTCCTTGAAAATGTATGGTATAGTTGGTGGTAATTTAAAAATTGGTGAGTATCGTTGTTCTACAGAAATCCAATATACACAGGGCTATCTCAGTCGAAATACCTTAAAGCTCTTATCAAGCAGCTCAATGGTTCTGATGGCAGATTTAATGCTGGTCATTTGAGATTAACCCCTGGACAACTTAATGGTGGTGTATCCGAATGCAGCTCGCAAATCACGTTCATTGGGCCCATCGCAACACACGGGAGCTCGGCATACTCGGTGGTACAGCACGTCGATGTAATCGGACATTCACGGCACTTTTTCTCACTTGAAAATTTTTAGTAACAACTCGACCCCAGCGTCAGCCGGCGGCTGTTTTTGCAACTGTATTGCCCTTACCGTTACCACTACTTAAGTATCTCGAATATAAGCCAGATGGGATCATAACTCAGATTTTTAACAATAACACCACTCCAGCGCCACCTGGTAGGTCAAACTGGGAATCTGGACAACTACGAAGAGACCTTACTCACACAAAAAAAATTTCGTTAAAATCGATTCACTCACAACACACGAACAGAAGTATTATACAGTATTATCTAGCTGGAACGAACACCCGATGCTACGAACACCTCGAAAGAGTGAACATGAAAATTTTTCCAATGAGTACTCTATAGAGTGAACAATTTTGAGTCTTTTGTAGAGTGAACAAAATTTAAAACCAATTTCTTCCAAATTCAAAACTGNCACACGAACAGAAGTATTATACAGTATTATCTAGCTGGAACGAACACCCGATGCTACGAACACCTCGAAAGAGTGAACATGAAAATTTTTCCAATGAGTACTCTATAGAGTGAACAATTTTGAGTCTTTTGTAGAGTGAACAAAATTTAAAACCAATTTCTTCCAAATTCAAAACTGTAACGACAATTTTAATAACAAAAAGGGTAGTCCCGAATTGGGAAAACAGGTGTATGCTCCTATATGTTTGTCAAAAAATGCCACCGTTCACGTACATAGGTGAGCGTAAATTCCGCAGGGTTGTCACTGCTGCTGCAGCCCGCTTCATTCGAGCAGGATGCATTTCGGACCGCCGTCCGAATTTTCCTGCTGAAGCGACTGTCCTAGCCGATGAGCGTGACAACCTTCACCAGGCCGATGCCGGAGATCCCCGTATAATGGATCTCAGCTCTGAGATTCGGCAATTAGTGAACGTACATAAGCGGAAAAGTGGGAAAACCATCTGAAGACCTGTAACTTCGCCTCTGGTGTAAGCAAGCTTTGGTCAACCATGATGTCATTGTCCAATCCGATGAAGCAAGACGACAGAGTTGTGTTGAAAATACTTATGTATTTAAATATGTATTTGTATTTGTATATGTGCATATAAAATGCACTCATAAGCTTATTATACTTTATTTACCAGCTTCGCATAATTGTAATACTTATAAGCATATTCTTGATACATTAAACAGTCAGTCCACTCATAAACCTCAAACCGTCGTGTTCTTTATTCTCTCTCTACAAGTTGAACTATCTTTTGGCGACCACGCATCGTCGGACCAGGAGCGATGGCGAGCTTTTCTAGCCGACAGTTCATACTGCATCCCCGGCGGACAAAGCCAAACGTCGAGTGACCAGAAAGCTGCACAAACTGCCAACACCAAGTGCACCTCTTTTTTTCACCAGCGGCGAGGTAAGGATAGCCATCGGGAAGGCGAAAGCCTCCAAAGCCATTGGACCCGATGGAATTTGCATGCTCATGCTGAAAAATTTGGGTCCTGCGGGAGTGGACTATCTAACCAAGGTCCTCACCCTGTTTATGGCCACTCTCATCATACCAGACATCTGGAAAATGGGGAGAGTGGTTTCACTACTTAAACCGGGGAAACCGCCCAACAACCGTCTTCTCGCCCGATAACTCTCCTTTCTCCCTACTACTACCGCACTACACAAATCACCTGACCCCAGCGAAGCATAAGCATGGGTTCCGTAAATTGCACAGCACCACAATAGCAGTCCTCCAGTCGCTAGCCGGAAGAAAAGAAAAGAAAAGAAAAGAAAAGAAAAGAAAAGAAAAGAAAAGAAAAGACAAAGAAACGTTGTTGCCAATGTACAAGGTAATTGGCTGGCCGGTTCTGAACTATGCAGTGCCTGTGTGGTTACCGAGGACTAGTAGGACGTAGTGGATGAAGCTGCAACCTGCCAAAACACGGCACTCAGACAGCGACAGGATGCCTTCTGATGTCGCCGCAACATCACCTGCACGACGAGGCCTATATGCTCCCGATTAAGGAGCATAACACAATGCTCTGCAAGCAATTCCTAGTATGGTGTCACCGTGTTAGGCACCCGAACAGACATCTGCTTTCGAAAGAACCCTTGCCACGTCACGTCAGAAGGCATCTATATGAATTGACGGACGAAGTCCAGGGGTTCATAAAACTACCTGTGGACCCAACAGCTTACCGACAGGCTCTGAACGACATTCACAGAGAGCCAGCTCCGAGTTATAAATACTCTCGACATGCGAATGCCGTTCTGAGCACGCAACCACCAAACGTGGACGGGGCAGAGCTTCGTTGGCCTCGGGAGACTCGGACCACAATAGCTCAACTTCGATCTGGTTACTGTAGCAGGTTGATCTCATACCTGAGCAGAATAAATGCAGATATGCCAAATGAATTCCCGGCATTCAGAGAGAAGCCCCATGACTCGCAGCATCTCTTCGCATGCCAACTGAACCCCACCCTGCTAACGTCCCTGGCCTGATGGACAGACCCCATAGGGGCTGCACGCTTCCTGGGTCTACCGTTAATAGAGCGTGACGACAACGATACAACAACAACAACAGGAAACATGTGCTGGCATTAGCTTTGGGGAAAAGACGACATTTCAGAGTTCTTAAAAATTTAACTTTAAAAGGCTGTTCACGAGATACAGGATCTGTTGCGAGTTCTTAACGCAGATGTAAGTTTAGCGGAAAATTAAGTTCTGGGTATCTTGCATGTGTAATGAATCTTGTTACTTAATTTCCTAAGGCAATATATACGCACGACGACGTTGAAAAATGGAATTCAGTGGAGGGCAATGAGACAATTTGTAATGACGATGTCGAAACGATTGTCTCATCTGAAGATAATATTGATGACGTATACAATCAGGCAGTCGGGAATCAAATAACAGCTGCTGAAGCTATCAAAGCTTTTGACAAATGCATTGAATGGGCTGAAGCATTTTCAAGCATTTTGGCATTGCAGAGCCTTCGAGACAAAGCAGTACAAAAATCGCTGACTGAACGCAAAAAACAGACGGTTATATTAACTTTCTTTCATTCTTAATATGAAACTAATTTTTAAAGCAATAAAGTTGATTTTAAAGAACAAAAATTTCAATCTAGATATAGTGAACAATCTGTTTTCTATGCACCGGTCTTGCATTAATTAGTTCACTCGGCCCAGATAGCACTATATGTACATTAGCGTGGGCCGAAAATCCGCTTTTTTAGAATTTTTATTGGTAATAGCAAAAATATGGTTCATTATGCTCTAAAAACAGTCTGTGTGAATGATGACAATTTTTGGTCAATATCTTAGGCTCGCCCAAGTCCCTCAAAGTTGAAGTGCCATAAAACATTTTTCTTAGCTTACTCTGATTCTGTGCAAAAAGGCTCATATACCAAATTATGTGGGAACAATACTTTCGAAAATAATTGCAATTTTAGTAATAAAAAAATTTATAAATTAATGTATTTATTAATTTTTATTTTTTGAGCACATTGAACTTTGATGGACTTGGGCGAGCCTAAGGCCGGTATTATCACTTGCGAAGCGAAAGAAAATATCGGCGAACTTCGCATTCTCGAATTATAAGATGCGAATCACTGGCGAATTCGCCGCAAAATGGCGAACGAGTGGCGAAAATGAATTTTTGTGTATTACCACTAGCGAAAAAACGACATTCGCTTCGCCATAGCTGTCAATATTTGGCGACTGTTTTCTCGATTCGCACTTCAAAATGGAAAAGACGTTAGTAATTGGTTTTATATGTACATAATTTCATTAAATACAATACATTTTTCAGAATAAAACGAACAACAACGCAACAGTTTGAAAAGCTAGTGGAACTCATGCAAAATAATCCAGACGTTGCCAAGGGGATGGGAAATTTCGGCTCCTCAAAGAAGAGTAGGGCAGAATTGTGGGAAAAGTTTGCGGCCGAACTTAACGCCATCGGACCTCCAATGCGGAACGGACGTGAGTGGAATAAGGTAAGAATTGGGTTGAATTGTTTCCTAAGACAACTTAATAAATCCAGTTTCTTTTGTGTACTATTAAGGTTTGGCTAGACTACAAACTGAAGTTGAAGAAAAAAATTTCAACGAACCGACGGGAAACTGTTGCCACAGGAGGAGGTCCGTACGTCCAGCAAAGCCTCACACCTTTGGAGCAAACTGTGGATGAGCTGCTTCACCTACAGGAAGCAGTCAACCCCTCGGGCTCTACATTTGGAGCTAATATCCAAGAAACGGAGGGCAATGACAGGAATGATTCTTCCCAGCCAGAAGCGCAGGACGAAGAAATGGATCTATCGGCTACGTCAACTCAGGCGAGAAGAAGAATGACAGTGGAGGACCGCGAAAACATTCGTTTGAGTGCGTTGGAGAGGCAGTCCGAGGTGCAAGAAGTTCTTTGCTCAAGGGTATCAGGCATAGAAAAAAGACTAGAAGAAATTTCGAGATATGCTAGGAAAACATACGAAATAAAAAAAGAAAAACTAAACTTATTGAAGATGAAGGAACAGAGAAAGAAAGAAGAAAATTTAGAAAAAAAGAGACAACATAAAGAAAAGATGGAAATGAAGTTAAAGGAGTTAGAACTAAAAACCTTAAAATACAGTAAGTGAATTCAACAAAGTTTAATCAAAAATGCAAACTTTTTAATAAGAATTTCTAGAAAAAGTTTGGTGTGCCGATTTATAGCCTATTAAATTTTAGTGCAACGAAGTGCAAATTAAAAGTTCCTAAAAAATGCCGTCAAATTTGTATAATTTTTTTTCTCCGACGGTGCTGCGCATTTTCTTCCACACAAAGTATGTTCAAAAATTTTGTTGTATGGAAAAAATTATCTAAAATCAGCGGGACTTTTTGCAACTTCAAAGTAGTACTTTATTGTACTAAAATTGAGTAGGCTATGAAACTGCACACCAAAATTCTTTATAGTAACAATTGAAAAGTTTGCCATTTTGATGAAGCTTTGTTGAACTTTTATAATTTTCAGAAAGTTTGAAATTTGAATTTAAATTGTTTTGCTACACTTAAAAGCAAAAGTCTGCGTACACCATTTCTTTTTTAAATATTCACAATATTTTGCAAGTTAAAATTTGTTTATTTTTTATAAAATTGTGGATCATGCTTAAAACACAATCATATAAACCATGGTTTCAAGCTTTATACAAAATTAAGGAAAATTCCACGAATTTGTATCTAAATTTTCAACTTTTTAATCAGATTATATATAGCCCATTAAATTTTAGTATATTAATGTGCAAAAAATAAGTGGTTAAAAAATCGCGTTAATTTTTAATAATTTTTTTTGACGGTTCTGCGCATTTTCCGACATACAAAGGAGTGAAACTTTTTTATATTGAGCAAAATGCGTAGAACCATCAGATAAAACATGAATAAAAATCAACGCGATCATTTAGTCACTTAATTTTTACACATTGTTATACTAAAATTGAACGCGCCATAATCTGATTAAAAAGTTGAAAATTTTGATGAAAATTCGTGAAATTTTTCTTAATTTTGTATAAAGCTTGAGACCTTGGTTTATATGATTTTGTTTTAAGCATGATTCACAATCTTGTAAAAAAATAACCAACAAATTTTAACTAGGAAAATTTTTTGAATATTTAAAAAAGAAATGGTGTACGTAGACTTTTGCTGTTAAGTGTACATATTCTTTTGCCAAAAAATTAATAATAAAAAATATCTCTGTATCACTGTGAATTTCTTTAGTTTCTAAGTAAATAATGAATTCGTTTTTATTTACATGTATACTAATTTAAAAATATTTTTTAAAATAAAGTAGTTACTTATTTTATAATAATGCAGCAGCTATCTCTCTTCTGCGGGTGTAACACCGGAATTTTCACTAACTGGTTCCGATGGTACAACGGCGTCAATAAAAATCTCAGATTCGTCTGGATCACACATTTTAAATATTTTACAGATATTGTGCAAAGCCCAGCATATGTTTATAATCGTGGTCACTTTCGTAGGTGTGTAACGCAATTTGCGCTCACTGAGGAGACAGCGAAAACGAGCCTTCAACACTCCAATCGTCCGTTCAACAACGTTTCTTGCCTTCGCATGTTTCTTATTATATAATGACTGTCTACTCCCTGATTCCGCGTTTCGAAAAGGTGTTAACAGGTAGGGCCGTAGTGGGTATCCGGAATCACCTAAACGAAATTACAAATGCAAATACTTGTACAATGTACATGTATGTATAATTACAGTATACAAAGGAGGATTTGTACGCACATAAATAAATAGAGTTTTGATCTCCGTTTTCATACTGACTTTGTAAAAATGCATTTAATGAACTGTTGTTCCACACAAAAGAATCGTGGGTAGATCCTGCATATCTGGCATCAACACTTCGGATGTTCATGTCATAATCGCAAGCCTGCAATACATTAATATGTTAACAAACACTAATGGTAATAATATAATTTAGTTACAACTTACAATCATGGCATTTATGCTGAAAAAGCCTTTCCTGTTTAAATATAGGTGTTTGTCATTGTGAGGAGCAATAATTCCAACATGTGTTCCATCCACACAGCCAATCACGTTGGGCATTCCAGACCTTGAATAGAATTTGCTTCGTATCTGTTGCTTTTCTTCTTCGGTCATATCTGCCTTGATCCATCGGCTGCAAAGTTCAGATTCCAAAATTGGAAAAACCTCCCTCAGAACTACCGAAACAGAGGATTGGGCTAGGCCCAATTGAAATTCATTTCCTATGGCCTCCTGGTAACTCGCATGTGCAAAAAACCTTAAAGCGCAGCACAATTTCAGGATTGGTGGTATGGATGTTGAAATACGACCTTCCAGTTTGTCCTTTATGTTACCAAGCACGTACATAAACGCCTCTTTGCTCAGCCGAAAGTTAGATATAAATCTGATTTAAAATTTAGTTAACACATAGATGTTTCATTTATTCATATTGAGCAATTGTTAAGTTTTATTGCAAACTCTTGGTTTATAGACTTGCATTCTTACAATAACAAAAAATATTTCGCTAAATACTTACATTGAAGACGGCATATCTGTAGGATTAGAGTTATCTCTAATAACCCGACGTTGTCGTAGTAAATTAACCGTCGTCTGCTCCCTGTAATCATCCTCGAAATACAAATCAACGGAATTAAGCATTTAAAAATTTTGAATTTATTTATTTTTCTTTAGTACCGATATTTCTTGTTTACAAAAACTTTGCGTTGAAATGTCAAAGTTGTCAAATTTGGATTAACGCATTTGTCAAATACACTTTTTTTTGGTATGGCAACAGCGAATTCAAGCGAATGTGTTCATTCGCCACTCATAATACCAATGCCCACAATTTTCGCCTGAGCATTCGCTTCGCCAAACACATTCGCTTCGCAACTCATCATACCACTCTAAGTTATTGGCAAAAAATTGTCATCATTCACACAGACTGATTTTAGAGCTTTATTAACCATATTTTTGCTAGCACCAATCTAAATTCTTAAAAAGCGGATTTTCGGGCGACGCTAATGTATATACAGCCAAATATAGGTAATAGTTTCAGTACCTCTTGGAAGACGCCGCTCCCCCTTCTTAAATATCCCCAAATTTCTCTAAGAGTATGCGATTGATTTCGTATATCTCTATACTACTATATGCTCGAGTACTCAACTATGAACACTTCCAGAGATGTGCAGTATGAAAAATTCGGTTTATTTGAGTAGAGTCGAGTACTTGCCTATAATGAACACATCCAGAAATATGCAGTATGAAAAACTCGATTTGTATGAGAGGTGCCACGGCCCTTTTCTAATAACATCAATTTTTCCATGAGTATGCGATTAATTTCGTATGGGAGGTGCCACGCCCCTTTTCCAATACCTCCAATGTTCTCCAAGAGTATGTGATTGACTTCGTATATATCCCTACCAAGCCCCAATACTCTACCATGAACACTTCCAGAGATATGCAGTATGAAAAATCTGGTTTTTATAGGAGATGCCACGCCTTCTTCACTTAGCGTTATGAAATACACTTTACGACCTATTCCCCGCGCCCATTTTCGAAATTGATTGTATATATCTCCATACCAGTATCCTACCATGAACGATTCCAGAGATATGCGCCATGAAAAATTCGGTTTTCCAATAACATCCATTTTCCCCATGAGTATGCGATTGATTTCATATATTTCCAAATATACACAAAAAAGAAGTTAACCACAAACACCGTGATATGAGGTTTTATTCGAATGGTGGCAACCCTGTGCAATTTTTTTCTGTTTCAAGTGTTTTCTTACATTCGTAGTGGAATAGCATTATTGCGGCTTATTTAATTTAAATATTTTTTTGATAATTCTGGTATCTGGCAACACCAGTTTTTTTTTAATTTTTTCTGTACAAACCTTCTACAGACAGAGAGAAACAAAATGAAATAAAAATTAAACAAATCCGTTGAGCCGTCCTTGAGTTATGCGATAACAAACGAACAGCTATTCATTTTTATTTGTACAGATTTTTTTCGAGGGGTGGCAACCCTATTCAAATTTTTTCTTTTATTAAATTTGTTTATGCATTCTCAGTAATGTATATTATGGCGGCTTATGTAAATTTAATTTGTGTTCTTGATATTTGAAATATGTGGCAACACCAGTTTCCAATTTTTTCTTTACGTTCATTTTACAGACAGAAAGACACAAAATGAAATAAAACCGAAGCAAATCCCTTCAGCCGTTCTTGAGTTATGCGATAACACACGAAATCAGTCCATTTTTACATATATATGTATATTTTTCGAATGGTGGCAACCCTACCGAAATATTTTTCTGAATTAATTGTTTGTATATGTATACATTCTCAGTGAAATAGCATTAATGCGGCTCATTTATAATTAATTTTTTTTCTGATATTGCAGATATCTGGCAAAATCATTTTTCCAATTTTCTCCTTACAAGCCTTCTACAGACATAAAGACACAAAATGAAAAAAAAACGAAGCAAATCCATTGAGCCGTTCTTGAGCGATGCAGTGAAATAGCATTATTCCGGCTTATTTAAAATAAATTTTATTCTGATATTGCAGATATCTGGCAACACCATTTTTCCATTTTTCTCTTTACAAACCTTCTAGGGACAGAAAGACACAAAATGAAATAAAAACGAAGCAAGTCCGTTGAGCCGTTCTTGAGTGATGCGATAACACACGAAAGCAATCCGTTTTTATATATAAGGACTAGCAGACCCGGCGAACTTCGTCCCGCCCAAAATTAATTTGTTTTACTGAAATATTTTGGTCCAACATTTTCATCAACAATTCGCGTTCAGGATTTCCAGTGATACATTTATCTGCTAGTATTACGGTTTGGTGGTTGTTAGAAGGCATATTTCCATTGTCGTCTTTAATAACCTAACGAAAGTGTATGTTCGTGAAGAAGTTCTTGAAATTCTCCAATAATCTGGCCTTTCACAGCACGGTTAATCGCAAAACGAAATAAATTTGAGGAACGTTTTTCCATTCACTCCCTGGCAGCAACAATGAATCTGTCCTTTAAACTGTATGGTATAGTTGGTAGCAATTTAAAAATCGTTTTTCTACAGAAATCCAATATACACAGACCTATTTCAGTCGAAATACCTTAAAGCTCTTATCAAGGAGCACAATGGTTCTGATGGTAACTTTAATGCTGGTCATTTGAGATTGACCCCTGGACAACTCAATCCTGGTGTATCCGAATGAAGCCCACAAATCACGTTCTTGGGCCAATCGCAACAGACAGGGGCTCGGCATACTCGGTGGTACAGCACGTCGATCTAATCGGACAGTCACAGCACTTTTTTCTCACCTGACAGTTTTTAGTAATAACTCGACCCCAGCGTCACCCGGCGGCTGTACTGTATTGCCCTTACCGTTACCAATACATAAGTATCTCGAATATAAGCCAGATCGGATCATAACGAAGATTTTTTACAATAACACGACTCCAGCGCCACATGGCAGGTCAAACTGGGAATCTGGACAACTACGAAGAGACCTTACTCACACAAAAAAAAGTTCGCTAAAATCGATTCACTCACAAACACACGAACAGAAGTATTATATGTATATACATCCAAAGATAGGTAATAGTTTCAGTACCTCTTGGAAGACGCCGCGCTCCCTTCTTAAATATCCCCAAATTTCTCTAAGAGTATGCGATTGATTTCGTATATCTCTATACGACTATATGTTCGAGTACTCAACCATGAACACTTCCAGAGATGTGCAGTATGAAAAATTCGGTTTATTTGAGTAGAGTAGAGTACTTGACTACAATGAACACATCCAGAAATATGCAGTATGAAAAACTCGATTTGTATGAGAGTTGCCACGCCCCTTTTCAAATAACATCAATTTTCTATGAGTATGCGATTAATTTCGCCCCCTTTTCCAATGGCTCCAATTTTTCTTCTAGAGGATGCGGTTGATTTCATATACATATATCCCTACCAAGCTCCAGTACTCTACCATTAACACTTCCAGAGATATGCAGTATGAAAATCTGGTGCCACACCATCTGCACTTAGCGCTATGAAATACACTTTGCGACCTGTTCTCCGCGCCCATTTTCTAAATTGATTGGTATATCTCCATACCAAGTTCCAATATCATACCATGAACGCTTCCAGATAAACGCGGCATGAAAAATTCGGTTTTCCAATACCATAAATTTTTTCCATGAGTATGCGATTGATTTCATATATTTCCAAATATACAGAAAAGATGTCATACAAATCGGTCAAGCCTTTTCGGAGGAGTCAACTACAAACACCTTGACATGAGATTTTATTCGAATGGTGGCAACCCTATGCAAATTACTAATACTATTACTAATAAATTTACACACGTCCTAAAGACATAGAGAAACAAAATTAAATAAGAACGAAGCAAATCCGTTAAGCCGTTCCTGAGTTATGCGATAACAAACGAACAGCAATTCATTTTTATATGTAAAGATATTTTCGAGGGGTGACAACCCTATTAAATTTCTTTTTTTATTAAATTTGTTTATGCATTCTCAGTAATGTGCATTATTGCGGCTTATGTAAATTTACCCCTTTTTCTTGATATTTGAAATATGTGGCAACACCGGTTTTCTAATTTTTTCTTTACTTTCATTTACAGATAGTAAGGCAAAAAAGGAAATAAAAGCGAACAAATCCCTTCAGCAGTTCGTGAGTTACCACTTTTACATATAATTTTTTTTCTAATGGTGGCAACCCTACCGAAATTTTTTTCTGAATTAATTTATTTTATACGTTCTTATTGAAATAGCATTATTGCGGCTCATTTATAACTAAATTTTTTTTCTGATATTGCAGATATGTGGCAGCATCATTTTTCCATTTTTCTCCTTACAAACCTTCTACAGACAGAAAGACACAAAATGAAATAAAAACGAAGCAAATCCGTTGAGCCGTTCTTAAGTGATGCGATAACTGACGAACAACAATTTATTTTTATATATAAAGAAGATATAGATAAATAGCCAATGCATTGAAGCAGCTTTCGAACAGAGTTGAAATAAAAACGAAGCAAATCCGTTGAGCCGTTCTTAAGTGATGCGATAACAAACGAACAGCAATTCATTTTTATACATAAAGAAGATATAGATAAATAGCCAATGCATTGAAACAGCTTTCGAACAGAGTTGCCGACCGTCCGGTTTTCAAAATGTCCGGTTTCGGACGGTCCAGGAAATAAAATGATTAGAATTTCAGTTTATGAAAATTACTAACATACCCGCGGGTTTCACCCTGCGTTTTTATACAAATATGAAAAATAATTTAGTGATGTTATATTTTATTTCTGTGACCATTTTGTTATAGCTCGTTATTTTTTAAGCGAGTTAAGGTATTTAGGCCGTTTAAAACTATGAAACTATAAAATCTCATCTGCGCCCTAGTTTACCTTAAAATGGTTTTAGGGATACGACGCGTGAACGTGTAACCTTCCAGGAGGTGTCTCGGCGGGTT